GAGAGAGAGAGAGAGAGACAGAGACAGAGACAGAGACAGAGATAGACAGACAGGCAGGCAGGCAGGCAGGCAGGCAGAGATAGAGAGAGACAGAGACAGAGAGACAGAGACAGACAGAGAGAGAGAAAGAAAGAGAGAGAGAGGGGGAGAGAGAAAGACAGAGAGAGAGAGAGAGAGAGGGAGAAAGACAGAGAAAAAGAGAGAGAGACAGAGATCCTCTCTTGGGTATAAGCCTTGGAGCTCCCTGTTCCTGTGTAAGAAATGTATTCTGATTGGTTGTCAGACTTCCATGGGGACATGCAGCAGGGGTGGGTTCCTACCGGTTCAGACTGGTTCGGCCGAGTAGGTAGTAACTCAGCTGGCCATCCGCCCCCGAACCAGTTCTATCAGTAGCACCATAGGCACCGCCATCTTGTTTTTTTTTAGTACTGCACATGTGGGCGCAGCACATTCCTGGACAAACCAGCAGTAGAAGAAGCTAGAACCCACCCTTGACGTGCAGGGGTAACTTTGTAGTGTCTTGAGTCCTAAGCTTGGTTGAATCTTGCTGGGTGATGTAACCCCCTCCCCAGGTGCCATGTGGTGAGTTTTGTTGGTAGATGGCTAGAGGGCTAATCCTATCATATCCTGAGGGCCATGTCTTTTGTGTTGTAGATAAGCTGTCCCAGCCTTTCTGGGGCTATTAGCTGCTTTCCAAGAGTATGTTTCTCCTTTTGTCATCCAGGGAGATATAATATTCTGCCTTTTTAATATTTCCTAAAATATTTCATTCTTCTAGGACAGGAGTGAGTGCTAACTTCCTACACTTCTCATCCAAGAAGGTTCTTCAGTTCTCACAGAATGGTGGGGGATTCCTCCGTTAGAACTGAAGAAGTTTCTTGGATGAGAAGTGAAACGTTTTTTTAATTTTATTTTCAAGGTGGGGGAAAGAAAGTCCAGTTGCCTTTTGGAAAAGCACTTTGGGGACAAACAGATATTGACTTTGGGAAAAAGCACCTTTGGGACAACCATGCCCTGGATGATTGAGAATCTCCATGAACCACAAGATCTGTTCTTTCTTCTCAGAGTGCAGGACATGGAATAATGAGTATAAATTATAAGAAGGCACTTTCTGATTGACTTTTAGAAAAAAAACTTCTTGGCAGGAGAAGCAGTGGGGGTGTAGTGGTAAAGCAGAAGGCCATTGCTATTTAGAGGAGTTGTCAGGATTCCAAGTAACACCCCCAACGAAAGAAGACTCCGAGGATTGAGGTTCCTCAAAGTTCCATTTTATTAGAGATGCCATATTGGCACATCTGGGAAAACCCAAATGTGAAAGCTTCCAGGTTTTCCCCACGCAAGCGAAAATCCAAGTCCCTGCCCAGCACCCACCAATCAGGCACCATCCCAACTGGAGATGCCTCCCAGTCACACCCCTCCAAGTGCAGGGCGAGATGTCCTTGACTCTCTGAGAAAGGGATGTTATTTTGACTATGCATCTCCCATACTCCATATAATCTCCCCTCCCATTTTCCCACAGCATTAATTATGGCAGGCCTGAAGGCCAAACGCTTCCAGGCCTGACAGGAGGAAGTGGAACAGAAGTTGCCTCCAGAACAGTGGTGGGATTCCACTTATACTAAGCAAAATCAAGGTGAAGCAACCTTGAGTTTCTTTCTCATCTTCTCCTCTCTTTCGGGATGAAGTTTATGTGTGTGTAATCAACCTTGCATTCCTTCTTCAAGGTTATATCTAGCACCTTCTACAGTGGGGCCAACAGCGCAGAGCAGTGGCAGACCGTGAGTCAAGACTGAAAAACGCTTAAGCTTCTTGTGACAATTATTGCTTTTCAACTCAGCCAAAGAACTGGAGGGAAGGAGGGGAGAGACAGAATGCAAAGGATCCAGACTTCAATCGTGAGAGCCAAGGACACTTCTACAGGTGGCAGCCAAGACATGGATTGTTATCAAAACAGTCTGGAACACATGACCTGTTCCATGGGAGGAGGGGTGAAACCTATGTCTTAACTATGCAGGCTTGTGCAGGGAAATTGAGAGTTGGTTTTGATTTCTTCAGTGCCAAAATGATGTACTCAATAAAGTTTTGCTTTTGGGGATTTTAAAGTTCCTGAAAGTGCCTGCTTTTGTTGGATTTGTTAGTCGGACATGTTCAAATGAACTCTAAACAGAGATCTGGCCAAGATACTTTAATGTGGATTCCTGGTATGATCAGGGATTGGACTAGCTGGTTTAAGTCAGGGTTCCGAATCCCCAAGCTGTGGCCCACTACCAGGCCATGCCCCATTTGGAACCAAGCCATGAAAGTGGTGGGAGGGAGCATGTGCACACACAGATCCACTTGTGCGAGTGATGGGTGCCTCACACATGAAGCTCCATTTGCATGAATGGCAGACTCTCACATATGAAATTCCATTTGTGGGAGTGGCGGGCATGTGCATATACCACTTGCACAAATGGAGTTGCAGATGGTCACACTTACACTCCCAGTGGTGGGAGTCAAATAATTTAATAACCGATTCATCCAGGATCAGGTTGGCTGTCGTGGGAGGCATGGCCCATCCCATCCCCCAGCTCCGCCCACAGTGGCCAACCTGAACCTGGGCGAACTGGTTGTTAAATTACAACCCACCCAATCACGCTATCAAAGTGGATTCTGGATGCTATGCTGCAATGGAGAAATGGGCAATGGACTGGCCGGCATGAAGGAAGGAGGAGGAGCAGGGAGAAGAAAGAGGGAAAGCGGCCTTCTCCTTCCCTCGCACTGGCTGCTCCATTGCCCATTTCCCCATTGCAGCACAATGCTCAGGATCCACTTTGATAGGGGGAGGGATTTAACCACCTATTCACTCAAACCGGTGCGAACCGGCTGAATCCCACCACTGAAACTGCTGGTCTAATTAATCCATCTACATCTGTCATTCTTGATTTTTTAGAACAAGGCCTTTGCAGAACTGGGCTCTGAGAATAAAATCCAGCAATTGCATACAATCATGAATGGAAGCAAGCAGTGGTGGGATTCAGCCAGTTCGCACCTGTTCGGGAGAACCGGCTGTTAACTTTCTAAGCAGTTTTGGAGAACTGGTTGTTGGAAGAAATCTCCTTTTGTTTTTTTCCATTTTTGAGTTTTGAGATTTATTGAACACTTATAGGCCGCCCTTTTCCCTGAGGGGACTCAGGGCGGCTTACAATAATGAGGGAGGGGANAAAAAAGAGCAAAAAACAGGCCACTTTTGCTCACTTTTGCCCCCCCAGCCCAGCCCTAGGAGCACTCTACAAGCCTCCCAAAGCTCTGAATGCCCCCCCTTTTTTTTGCAAAAACAATGAGGTGTGCAGAGGGTTTGGGAGGCCTGCAGAGTGCGAAGTTAGGATAACAAACGGAAGGCCATACCTTGTGTGAATAATGTTGGTCCACAACTCGGGCCAATCCAAAGTCACCAATCTTTAACACCAGATCATTCGTATTGATGAATATGTTGGCTGGTTTTAAATCCCTATGTAAGACGTTGGCTGAATGGATGTATTTCAGGCCCCGGAGCAGCTGGTACATAAAAAGTTTGGCGTGTTCTTCTGAAAGTGGCCCTTGCTCCAGCAGGCGGGCCAAGTCGGTCTCCATGTATTCCTGGATGATGTACACCATGTTGAATTTGAACAAGTCTCCTTGGAGGTCCGCCCCTTTGGGCCCCAAGACGTCGTAGACCTTCACAATGTTGTCGTGGTCCAGTCGGCGGATGATCTTGATCTCCCGGAAAGCATGCTTCAGGCTCTGCGCATCGTTGATGGCGATCTTTTTCACGGCGACTTTGCAGCAGCTCTTGCTGTCGACGGCAGACAGAACCAGCCCGTTCACACCGAAGCCCAACGGCCTGAAGTTGACGAATCGGCAACCCAGATCATAACCGTAGACGCTTGCAATGTAATCACACTTCTCTGCCATGGTGCAGGGTCTACTCCTGCTTTGCCCTGTAATAAAATCCCGGTAGGTGAAACAGCCTCCCATTACCCAGGTGGTATGAATTAAAACAAATCTTCATTCTTAACCGTTACAATTTCCAATTTGTCATGTTGGGGGCCCATCAGATCAAAGGAGAAGCCGCCAAATCAAAGGAGAAGACATTCATTTCAAAGCTATCCATTTTTAGATTGCATCTCCCAAGTGTTTTTCCAAACTTTTGGGCACCAATTACAGGGAAGATGAGAGAAGGCTAGTGTTGTGGCCTGTCAGCCACCGGCCCCTCCATCAGCTGAATCAGAAGAGAAGGAGGCGTGGGAGTCAGGGTCAGCATCAAGGCAACCTGGAAGCTCCGAGGGGGAAGAGGGAATGGAGCTATCAGGGGTGGGGTGGAGCCTGGGCCATCCATCAGCCCTCAGATAAAGAGTCAACAGCCCCCAGGTCTGGAGGTGGCTGATGTGGAAGAAGAGGAACAACTGAGTCCAGTGCCTGATGTGTGGATGCACAGAAGGCAGAGGAGAGGAGAGCAGTAGAAATCTATGGGCCGGTCCTTGGGACCGTGGCACGACAAAACCGCACTCGACTAAGCCGCGCCCGATTAAACCGCGTCGCTGACGTCATCAACAGGGCGCAAACAGCGAGAGCGGAGA